TGGGACAGTTTGACCACCGAGAGTACCAAGTTCCACCGTACCGTGTTTGCATCCTTGATCGATAGTGTTGATGAGGAAGCATGACCGATAGGTTTCCTATGCCTATACGAGGATTCCTCGAGATGGCGAAATAGGAGATTTGTGTTGTCAGCAAACGGAGCCATGAGGGGTTACGTTTGTATAGCAGAATCGTGTGTTGTGAGTATGAGTATAGCGAGGCTATATTGAGTGCATGGTTGCACATTTACCGTGACAATTGCTTCGGCAAGAAGTCACGAGTGTGTCGAGATCGTGGGTAGGTTTTTGGCGTGACCCGGGCACCATGCTGAAACTCAACTCCACGTGTCGACCACGATTGTTTGACCGAGGATATCAAGATCGAGGCACTATGAGACCTGTTGAGGTCGTGTGTGCATGTTATGTCAGGCGTTTTTGCGATTTCTCACCCTGCCATTTTATGTTTTGAACGGGTATATGGGTGGTACCGTTCGAGTTTTCCCCTTTCGTATGTCTAGAGGTGTGATATACCTCGGTTTGGGAAATGAAGATCCGCTGTTGTGAGCAGTTAGTCCTTTGAGATACATACTCAAGTCGTTGACTTGGATTATCTGCTAGCTTTACCACCAGATTTACTAGGGGTGCATGCTGTGTTTATGTCTCAATGTTGCGTAGAGATGTACATGATCCAGATTACGTGGTGGACTTCGGCGAACTGTGGGTCGAGCGAGACCTTGCCTATGATAAGGTACCGGTGGCCATTTTGGACCAGGGTGTCTATCGGCTGATGAACCGGGCAGTGAGCCTTAGGAAGGTGCTGTGGGGCTGACATGACGAGTCTGAGACGACTTGAGAGATGGATGCCGAGATTAGGGGAGATTCCCTAACTTATCACTTTGGGGGTCTGTGTATTCTATTAGTTCATTAGTTGCTTTTGTTTTCGAATTCTGAGGTTGGAATTCTTTGTAAGGTGGGTAGACTGTAACGCCCCGTTCGTTTATGAATAAATGGATTATTATTATTGTTATCGTTATTATTATTGTTGCCATTAATATTAATTGTTATTTGTCTAAATTGCCTAAATGAATTTATGTGCCATTTTGTGTAATTATTATAAATATTAATTGTGGAGATTTTTTATTATAATTATTAAATACTATTTTAGATATTAATTATTCTATTTTAATTTAATCGTCAACCGAGCGTTCGGTCGAACCCCGCGAGCCACGCCCGTGGCCACGCCAGCCCTAGCCGCCCCCTTTCCCCCTTCTCTCCTTGTGTTTTTAGTAAGTGGAGTGATCATGGAGTCTTTCCTTTTTCTTTGGAGTTGACTTTGGCAAGTACATCAATTTGGGATTCTTCCATATCTTGAGGACTCTATTTATGGGAGAGATTAATCCCTCTCTTCTCTATTTTTTCAAACAGCCGCCCCCTCTCATCTCTCATCCCTCTCATCTCTCTCGCCCTCTCTCCTTCTTTCATATTTTTTTTTCTTTCCGATCGTGATCATCGCCGCTCTCCGCCGCGTGCACCATCGCCGTCCCAGGCCAACACCGTTGCCATCACCCGTTCTTGAGTCGCGGATCGTGCACCCCTTAGCGTCCAACGTCCCTCGCGAAGCCAGCAACACGTCCAGCGTCCCGTTCGCACGTCCCACGGCTGCCCAGTACCCAGCGTTCCCGCGAAGCCCGCCAGCGCCCAGTAGACGCCCGCAGGCCCTTCCCCCGCGTGCCCGCGACCACCCTCAGCCCCGTTCGAACCTTCTTTCATGCAATTTCCCCGAGAACGGTACAAGGCTGATAATCCTTTATTATTTTCAGTGTATATGTGCTATGTGATGAGCCTTGTTGGGAAATTTCGTGTTAGGGTTTGATAAATGGCTATTTATTCTCGTGATTTATTCGTTAATTGTATTTGAATATGATTTTCGCTTAAATCGTGATTAGGGCTGTGGATTGTCGTAACATTTGAAGTCCTTGGCCTCATGGTTCAGGCCTTGGACGTTTTAGATGATTATGTGGTCATTGATGTGTTGTTGAATCGGGTATTGCTGCTGATTCTTATAAAAATCATTGTTAATTATGTGCTCGTCCGATTACTGCAATTTTTGAACTGTAGAGTCCTCTATTGGTATATTATGTGCTGTAAAAATTTCATGCCAAAATGATGTCTGTAGCTATGTCAAGTATTGAATTTAAGATCTGGGCAGATACTTTGAAAATTCATTAAAAATTGTATGTTAGGGTTTTTGCTGTGATTTTTGGTGAGTCTTAATAACTTGATGATATGTGTGTTGTGTCCAAATTTCGTTGAAAAATTCAAAGGATTGCCCGGTGAACTTGAAAATTCAGATTTTCATTGCCTTTATGTAAAAATTGGTTGATTGTGTTAAATTGAAGAGTTGGACCTGAAACCTTGTGATTATGTGCCTTTCTGAGCCTATTTTAACGTGTTAAAATTTCAAGTAAATCGGTCGAGTAAAGTTTGAAATCGGTCAGCCCTATTTGAAACCCCGCTTGTCTGCCGGGCCCTGTGCACTGCTGCCAGCCAGCGGCCCAGCGCCCCAGCGCCAGAGCCAGCTGATGAGAACACGACAAGGAGATTAAAGAATGCTGCGAGCCGCGCTTAACATGCACGACGGAGGTTAAGCCGACGGGTTGCCCAGGCCCAACTCGTTAATGGGCATGCGCGCGCGGACGATGACGCGCGCGAGAATCTCGGCCACGGGTGCAATAGCGCGGGTACGGACGAGGAGGTTCACGCGCGGGCAGGCCTAACCACGCAAGGAGTAGGCGAGGCGGGCGCGCGAGGGCAGCACGCGCGCAATGGCGGCTTGAATCGCAAGCAAGAGATATTCTAGATATTTATTTCCTTGTTTTCTAGTTTGTTTAGGACTCCTAATATTTTATTGCTTTATTAGAGTTATAGTTATATTAAGACTAGATCTAGTTGATGCCTATATAAAGGCTCTTCCTCTTGTTAATTTATATTCAGAAATCAATACAAAACTCTGAACTTTTGTTCAAACACTTTGCTCTAGTTTTCTCCTTGAATTCTTTTGCAATGTTATTCGTTGGAAAGGCTGCGAGTGTGCAACTTCCTAACACCTATCGAGCGATTTAAGGCGCGGGAGCGGCTTGTCGACAGTCGGGACACACGGTCTTCATCATTGGTGCTTTCATTGAGAGGTGTTAGATCGTGTGTTTTTCTTCTTCCCCATTCTCTTTTTAATTTTTCGTTCTTAATTTTCGTTGTTCAAAAAAAAAAAAAAAGAAAATCGTCAAAAGCCAAAAAAAAACAAAAACAAAATTAGTCCGGGAAGTCGAGAACGTAGGCAAGCCAGAAAAGATATGGCCAATCGTGAGTTGAAAGAGAGAGTCGAAGGATTGAGGGCCAGTTCAGGGCCATAAGGGAAAGCATGGAGGGTCGGTTTGGTTCGCTCGATGAAGGACAGACCACCACCAATGCTACTGTGGCTCGTCTCGAGCAGCGCCTGGAGGAGGTGTTGCGCGGGTTCCACAACAGCAGCAACAGGAGCCACCACGAATGAACGCACGCGAGCGTTTGAGACAACAGGAGCAGCAGCGGGCTGAGCACCACCCCGACGAGGAGGAAGAGTACGAGCAGCGGTCGCAGGCGTCGAACGCTCATGAGCGACCACGCGTTGAGAAGCCGAGGATCGTGCTCTCAACGTTCACGGGAACCAACCCCGACGCTTGGCTGAACAAGGCAGTGCAATTTTTCGATTTAAATGAGATGCCGCAACGTGACTGGGTTCGTTATGCCGCGTACTATTTAGATGGCGAGGCCAACGTGTGGTGGCAGTGGTTCACGCGCGTGTATCGCGGGCGGCAACAACCAATCCGTTGGGAAGATTTTGAACGCGAGCTCCTTACGCGTTTCGGGAACTCAGACTATCATAACCACGACGAGGCGCTTACTCGGATCCGGCAGGCAGGGAGTGTACGTGACTACAAAAAAGAATTCGAGAGGTTGGCGTGCCGGGTTCGTGGTGGCCGGAGAGCACACTTGTTGGCGCGTTTGTTGGAGGGCTTAGATATGATCTCGCGGCTGAAGTACGATTGGAGAGACCAGAGACCATGCATAAGGCCATGGAAGTTGCTAGGAGACGGGAGGATCACTTGGCCGCAACTCAAAGGGGACGGGCGGACTTTCGAGTCCCGGAGCCGCGACGTGTGCCGGCGACCGTGGGCGCACCTAGTGCGAACGAGAGGCCGCCGGGTGCCTTTAGGCCACCGGCAACCGAGGTGAAGAGGTTGACGGAGGACGAGATGGCACGGAGACGAGAGAAGGGGCTGTGTTTTAGGTGGGAGGAAAAGTACACACCGGGACATCGATGTAAGCAGAATTACTTGATCGAGTTTGTGGACTCGGATGACGAGGAGCCGGTGATCGAGAAAGAACGAGAAGTGGAGCTCGAGGTGCTCGATGATGAGGCCGAGATCTCTGTACATGCCATGGCAGGCACCAAGGGGCCGAGGACGATGCGTTTGCCGGCGTGGGTGAAGGATCAGCGGGTGACTGTGCTCGTGGACAATGGGTCGTCGCACAACTTCATTAATGCGACGCTATCTCACAAGCTTAAACTACCCACGTCCATGGTCGAGCCATTCGAGGTGCGGGTGGCTAATGGAGAGAGACTGCGGTGCTCGAAGGTGTACCGAGGCGTGCCAATCAAATTTCAAGGAGTAACGATAAAGGCGGACATGTTTGCCTTACCATTGGTGGGACCTGATGTGGTGCTAGGTGTGCAATGGCTCGAAGGGCTCGGTGACGTAACGACCAACTATCGGAAGGGTGTGATGAAGTTCGAGACCGATGATAGGTTGGTTACCTTGAAAGCGAGCGAAGGATCGACCAAGGAGGTTAGTCTAAAAAACATCGAGAAGGTGTGGCGAGGTGGTGGACAGTTGTACGCTGTCGTGGTCGAGCAGACAGGTAAGGATGCGGAGGTGCTCGAGGAGATCGACCAGGTGGTCGAGGAGAGGCAGCGCGAGGTGCGTGACTTGCTCGAGGAGTTCGACCAGGTCCTCGATGAGCCCAAGGGACTGCCGCCACACCGAGAGTTCGACCACCGCATACCTTTGGTCGAGGAAGGTCGAGCAGTGCACGTGCATCCGTATCGATACGCACACTTCCAAAAGACGAAGATCGAGCGACAGGTGGGCGAGATGCTCGAGTCCGGGCTCATCCAGCATAGCTCGAGCCCGTTCTCGTCACCGGTGTTGCTCGCCAAGAAGAAGGACGGAACTTGGAGGTTTTGCACGGACTACCGCGCTCTCAATGCGGCTACCGTGAAGGATCGTTTTCCCATTCCAAGTGTCGAAGACATGCTGGACGAGTTGGGTGGCGCGCGTTACTTCTCTAAGCTCGACCTACGTGCGGGCTACCATCAAATCAGGTTGGCCAAGGAGGGCGTGCCCAAGACGGCTTTTCGCACGCACCAAGGGCACTACGAATATCTCGTGATGCCTTTTGGGTTGTGCAATGCGCCGTCGACCTTTCAGTTTGCCATGAACTCGATTTTTAAGAGGTACCTACGTAAGTTTGTATTAGTATTCTTCGATGATATTTTGGTATACTCGAAAACATGGGCAGATCATCTCGAGCACTTGCGAGTTGTTTTGGGGATTTTTAAGGCTAACTCATTCTACATCAAACCGTCCAAGTGCTCGTTTGCTCAAGGGGTGGTCGAGTACCTTGGGCACTTTATTTCTCATGAGGGCGTTGAGGTGGACCCAAGGAAGATCGAGACAATGGTGGGATGGCCGAAGCCCGTGAGCTTGACGCAGTTGCGAGGGTTCCTTGGTCTTACGGGCTATTATCGCAAATTCGTGAAGGACTATGGTACCATCGCGAAGCCACTCACCGAGATGACGAAGAAGGGGGCGTTCAAGTGGACGGAGGCGAGCGAGAAGGCTTTCGAGGAGCTGAAGAAGGCCATGACGACCACGCCCGTGCTCGCAATAACGAGGTTCGATGTGTTGTTCGAGATTCACTCAGATGCGAGCGATATTGGAATCGGGGCTGTTTTGGTGCAGGAAGGATGACCCTTGGCCTATCTCAGCAAGGCACTCGGGCCAGCGCGCTTAGGGTTGTCCGCATACGTAAAGGAAATGCTGGCCGTGGTCGAGGCCGTGTGCGTGTGGAGGCCGTATTTGCTTGGGCGGCACTTTCGGATTGTCACGGACCAGCAGCCGCCCAAGCACTTGCTCGAACAAAGGATCGTGACGCCCGAGCAGCAGAAGTTCGTGTCCAAATTGATGGGGTTCGACTTCGAGATAGTGTATCGACCTGGTCGCCAGAACACCGTAGCCGACGCATTGTCTCGTCGGGAAGATGTGGCCGAACTCGACGCAGTTACGGGGCCGACGTGGGCCGTTTGGACAGAGCTTCAGAAGGCGCAAAACGAGGATGCGCATTGTCAGGACGTGGTCAAGAAACTGAACGAGGGACGCGACAAGGACGAGGACCATGACATGCACGAAGGCTTGCTTCTTTATCATGGGCGAGTCGTCGTGCCCGAGGCGGGATCGTTGCGCGAGGACATCATCCCGCACTTCCACGACTCGAAGTTTGGAGGACATTCCGGGGTGTTCCGGACATGGATGA